TGCTCTCGCTCTCTCTCTCTCTCTCTCTCTCTCTCTCTCTCGACCTTTAAGATTTGTTGTTACTGTTCTTAATTCTCCATGGAGTACAAATGGTGAACACCATAATACCATTATTATAATTTTTCCCAACTATTTGCACCAATATTTGAATCTGGCTCCATGTACTGTCCTTAGTACTTTTAATAAGAAAATCTTTATACTGTTTTTTAAAGATTTATTTATTAATTATGTATACATATGCCCGCACGCCGGAAGAGGGTGCCAGATCTCATTACAGATGGTTGTGAGCCATCATGTGGTTGTTGGGAATTGAACTCAGGACCTCTGGAAGAGCAGCCAGTGCTCTTAACCACTGAGCTATCTGTCCAGCCCCTTTATACTAGTTTTTAAAAGCATAAAATTATGACTTAAAAATTTGTGTTACTTTTTAAATTAAGATGATTTTGTATTTTAACTCCTGTGTTTTTCTGATATAGTATTACTTTATATCACAAAGAAAGTCTGTCCTGCTGGGTGTGTGGTGCACACCTTTAATCCCAGCACTTGGGAGGCAGAAGCAGGTGGATCTCTTACCCCCACCCACACACCCCTGATACAGGGAACTCACTATGTAGACCAGGCTGGCCTCAAACTCACAGAGATCTGCCTGCCTCCGCGTCCCGAATGCCAGGATCGAAGACAGATGGATCTCATGAGTAACAAGCCAGTCTGGTCTAAAGGTTGAATTCTAGAACATTTAGGGCTACAGAGTAAGACACTGTCTTGAAAAAGAAAAAGAAAAAAAATCCATCCTATCAATTGGTTTACTTCTTATGTATGTAAGAAGTAAAGTATTAGCCTGATATAAACATGTACTAGAATTTGCTGAATTGAGTTCTTACCCTTTAAAACAAATCCTGAAGTTTAAATTGTCTCACTCGTGAAATTTTGAGTAATCCTCTGTATTGTGTTTAGTATCTAACCTCAATGAAAAAATGAAATTGCTTTTGACATTCAGATTTCAGTAGCATGTGGATAATGTAAGCACTTGATATTTCTGTCTTTTCTCAAATGATGGTTTCAATGAATAAAATGAACTAAAAGTTTCTGTTTTAAAAAGTAAACTTATGAAAACTTTGGGCTATGTTTTAGAAAGAAAAGGAAAAAAAAAAGGAAGAGAAAAAGAGAGAAAAGGAGCCAGAAAAGCCTGCCAAACCACTAACAAATGAAAAGGTAAAATTTCTTTTTTAAAAAAAATCTAAGATTATCATCTTATTATATGCTTATATTAAAGACTTTCTGGATATTTATGAAATGCCAATTATTAGCTTTTCAGAAACTAATCATGCAGTTAATCCTCCATACTGAGCATAGCCTCATGAGCCTCTCTTATGTGATTTCTACTCAGTTATACGTGTGGGTTCTCAGATCCTTATGAAGCAAGTATTCTCCTCTGAGTGACCCTGAAATGGTGATTTTAGCTGCCATGTACAGTGAGGCTGGAGTAAGTTTACAAAATGAAAAGGTCACAGGTGAAAAAGCTCAGAGAGGATTCTCTGCTTCATAACATATGAGCTAGATCTTGAAGCATGAGTAGTTTAGTGTGGAAGAAAGAAGATGCTAGACCGAAAAGGCAGCCTCGAGATGGTCTTGGAAACCAGAAATAAAGTGAGAGTTTGGACAGATCTGTGTCTGTGTATGAGGAGCAGTGAAAAGTAAGGCCAGAACAGGAGCGTGAACTCATATCACAGTATTTATTCTTCTCATGAGGAGTGGCCCTGGAATACACTTTGTTCTTGTTTTCTCTCTTTCCTCATCCCTCCCTCTGTAGCTCAGGCCAACTCAAGCTCTTTTCTTAAATGTTTAAGTTACACTTGAATTGATGTGTTGTGTGAGTGTGCTGTATAGCAAGTGTATGCATTTCCACCAGGGTGGTTGGAGGTCACAGGACAACTTGCTGCAGTTGGTTCTCTCCTTCCACCGTGTAGGTTCTGGGAATTGAACTCAGGTCAGCCGGGCTTAGAAACAGACATCTTTAGTAGACACCTCCCGAGCCATCTCAGTGACCCCCCCATGTTAAATGCTTACCTCCTCTTCCTGGGCCTCTTAAGTGCTAGACTGACAGATGTGTGGCACCACACCTGCCTAATACTTGAGTTTCTAAAGCAGGTGGTGCACCTAATTGAGAGACATTCTTTTGCAAGGTTATTTTGGCAGTAGTAGGTAAGAAAGGTATGATAGATAAGCTAGAGTTAAGGAGAACATCATATTTGCAAAGGAATTGGGTGTATAATTCTGGTGCCTTGATTTTGAATGTGTTTTATCATTCATGTGTGAAAATATGGAAAGAAAATGATTAATTCCCTTTGATTTTACATCTTCTTGATAAATGGCATATAGACTTGTGGGACTCAAAAACAAGTAAGATATGCCTGGGCAAATAATTAGCTTGAGATAAGAATTTTTTTACAGCTTAAATAGTCTGATGTGTTCTTACTATTTTACATAGTTTAAACCAGAAGCATTGAGTAGCTAAAATGAAGTATTGTCTTGTCTTATAGAAAGCTATACAAGATGACAGTAATAAATAATTATATACTAAAATACCCTGAAGTCTAGCATGAGGAACCCACTGAAGTCGTAATAGCTTTTTAATACTATTAAAATAAATGATAAAGTGTATGTGTATATATATATAAAGTCAATATGTTATAGGCTTTGTAGTAAATTGAAAACACTTTTTTCCATGGAATTTCTGAAATGTTTTTTAAAGTCTTAACGTTTTATTGCAAGTGAAGCAATAAAATAAGGGAGAAATCCAATTACTTTATGTGTAAAAGCTTCCATTTCCTACTTAATAAAAGAAAGACTTTTGCTCAGTAAGCATGCAAGCTCACAATCCTATTTTGTAAATTAGAAATTTTCTTAAATAGAAAAAAGGAGTTGTTTTCTCAGAAAATGCTTTGATAGAAAGTAGTTTCACTGAGCTAAAGCCTCCAGTTAAGTGCATCAAGATTTAAGGCTCAACAATTAAATTAGATGTGTTGTTGAAAAGGATGAAACCATCTAGAACTTTACTGAGTGCCCAGTGTAGTGTAAACATCATTTTGAAGCCTTTAAATGTATTATTTCATAGTCCTCATGGTACTTTGAGTTTGGTATGACTTTTTTATTTTTTTCATTCTTTGCTTGAACCTGAATCATATAGGATCAGCAGTTTATTCCTAGTCACACAGCTGTTAAGTAGTGACTAAGCTGAGATTTACTGAGCATCTGCCTTCCCTGCATGCACTGTGAACAATAATATACTGTGTGCACTCTCAGTTTATTCTCTACCATCCAAAAGGGGATTAAGAAAAGAGGGGACATTATGTATTTGTCATGTGGCGGCATGGGTAGGGGCGAGACTGCCTCCTGTCTCCCCCACCCTCCCATCAATGCCTGAGGCAGATGGGAGAGCTGTCCCCGTCTGTCTTGTGGCCACATGGGCAGGGGAGAGATCCCTCCCCCTCACACCATCAGATGGGAGAGCTGTCCCTGCCCCTCATCAGCTGCAGTACTCTGGAGAGTGGCCCCTGCGCCTCACCTGGACAACACAGTAGAGCTCGCCCTGAAGGTGTAGGTGTGGGAGAGCCAACCTGGAGGATGTGAAAACAGGAGAACTGACCCCGCAAGGGGTGAACTAGCCAGTGAAATGCTAGAGAACTCACCCTGGTGCTAAAGACAGGGGAGAGCTGTCAGGCTGACCAATCCCTCTACTACCCAGGCCCAGAACCAGAGTTAAGTGCTGACCCATCCCAATATCCACGCCATCTGTGATCTGCTGGATCCAGAGTCACCGGATCTCTCCACAACACAGGGCAGCAACAGAGGTCCAGGAAGAGTCCCAGTATTGATAGTGTAGTAGAGACCAGAGGCATCAAACCAAACCAGTGATTCTTTGTAATGAATGTCTGCATGTAAAGATGTATGGCTAAAGGGGTTTACTGTGTCACTCACTGCAATTTTCATGATGAGGGATTCCCTTCCCTCCTTTTTAATTTTTGACTTTTTTAATCTTAAATTTTATTTTGTTTTATTTTGGGGGTATTAAAGGAGCAGAGGACAGATACAAAGAGATGGGAGATGAATGTGATTGGGATGCATGCTGTGAAAGACAAAAAAAAAAAATGAAGTTTAAAACCGGGGGTGGGGGAACAGGAGGGCAGAGAGTCAGCTCTTCTTTCTACTAAGTGCTGTTGATTGTGCTAAGCATTTCATGTGTGCCACTTAAGGATGACAGTAATCCTGGGAAGTCTCAGGACAGTGATTATGCAAATTTAATATGAATTAATGCAAAGAAGAGATAGAAAATTCATAAAGAAAAGCTGGCTCAAGGTCACATGTAATAATTGGTGGAGTCATCTTTCTAAAGGGTGGCTGGGAAGGAGCTTATTACTGCCTTACTGTATTAGCTACTGTTCTTGTTGCTGTCAACCAAAAAGCACGTTAAGAATGGTTTATTTGGGCAACATGGTATAATAAAAAGAATATGGACTTTGGAATCAGGAAAAATTCAGTGATTATGATTAAAGTTTAATTTTAACTGAGTATGATAATGCATATCTGTAATGACAGCACCCAGAATTGGAAAGTAGGAATTTGAGGCCAGCCTGGGCTGCATAGTGAGATGCTATCAAAAATAATGTATAACAAAACAAACAAAATAAACCTGTAATGTAATATTCCAAGAAATGATCTTAGTTTACAAGTATCCTTAAAGTAGTCTGCCTTATGCCTAAAACTGAAGACAGCTAATATGTAACATATACACACAGTGTAGATAGACTGTAACAGGTTATTAGAACACAGCAGTGAACAGTTCCTGCCTCGACACACTCATTCTGAAGTCCAGTTTTTAATCTCAAAGGCATGTCCACATTGGCTTCCAGCAACATGCCAGTTACAGTTCAGAATTTCCTCCCTGAGAGTGGGTTTCTTTTGCATACATTGTGTTTCTTGATGTCTGCCTGGCTTCTGGTTTGGGAGTTTTACACACACACACACACACACACACACACACACACACACACACACACACACACACACACCCTTGCCTTTACACACACACACACATCCTTGCCTTTACACACACACACACACACACACACACACACACACACACACCCTTGCCTTATGACCTCATTTCTCTGATGTATCTAAAAGAGATGTTTAGTTTTCATCCTCCCACCCTTTCTACTTGTTAAATTCAGCAGTTTAGATTCCTTATGTGCTGTTGTCTGCATTAACTAGCCAGCTAAGGAGCAGTGGTATCTCATTCTTGAGGATCAGCTTTTATACCTGTTACTTAAAAGAACAAGAAATGTCAAAAACAGGGTGACTGAAAAGTAAGCTTTTATTCTGTTCAGTCTGTGAAGTAGCTTTGTAAATTACTGAAAGACTGGGCAGCGAAGCTTCTGCTGATAACACTAGTAATTTGAATGGGACTCCTACTTGTTGGGAATCTCCATAAAGTTTATAAAGTTGCTTTATTTGCATTTACTTATGTAAGTACTTGCTGAAAAATTTTTCTCAGTAAATTGTAGATCACCTAACTTTACCCTTACATAGTTAACTCAGGTTTTCTAATAAGTGGTTCTCCACCTTCCTAGTGCTTGTGACCCTTTAATACAGTTCCATTTGTTGAGGTGGCTCCCAACCATAGCATTATTTTTGTTGCTGCTTCATACATGTAATTTTGTTACTGTTAAGAATTGTGATGTAAATATTTGTGTTTTCTGATGGTCTTAGGTGACCCTTGTGCAATGGTTGTTTGACCCACAAATTGAGATCGCTGCCTTATTAAAAGGCAAAGAAAGTCTGTGGTGCTTATGGAAGCTGAATAAGTTACAGTGCAGTGATTCTACATGTCCCGTTTTCCACTTCTGAGCTCAGTATGAACTGTCAGAGGGTGATGGTGAAATAAAGAGCGATGTGGTTGTCAGAATACTTTGATATTTACCTGTGCTCAATTTCTTTTCCTCTCCAACCTCAACTAACAAGAGTTAGTAGCAGCTAGAAAATAATATGTGATCCAGTTCCTTAAAAGTGTAACTTGCTGGAGGGATGACTCAGCAGGTAAAGACACTTGCTGCCAAGCCTGAATGGAACCTGGACCCTGGATGGGTAAAAGGAGAGAACTGACCCCTCAAAGTTTCCCTCTGAACTCAACAAATGTCATGGTATGCACATATACATACATACCACACAAAATAAATGAAGAGATAAAAGTATAAAAATTTGTGCCTGGCGATGCAGTCCTGTGGTCTCTGCTTCTTGGAAAGTTGCAGACTACAAGTTGAAGGCTTACCTGGGCAACTTAATGAGACTTGACTCAATATAAAATATAAAGAAGAAGGAGTTTGGAATATAGCTCAGTGATAGCATTTGCCTATCATGTATAAGGTGACAGGTTCAATTCCCAGTACTACGGGGAAAGATAAATAATGAAATTTAAACTTCTGTATTCGCTATTCAGTGGTCTCATTGTGTAAGAATTACTATTGTAAATTCAAAGACCATGTTTACCTGCTTAAAAAAATAATAAGTGATTTAGGATTCCTCATGCTGACTTCATGAAAATTATGCATAAGTGAAACTTAAAAGATTGGTTTGATTAATAAAATTATCAATTAATCTAATGATATACTTCAAAGGTACAGAAGAAAGAAGATCAACAACTTGAGCCTAAGAAAAGCACCAGCCCAAAAAATGCTGCAGAGCCCACTGTTGATCTTCTAGGACTTGGTAAGTAATGGACCGTAAAACAACTGAAAGCCTACCGGAAATGAACATGGCGTCCAGTTCTTCAGTATTATATCAAGGATGTGGTTTGAAATGGTCCAATAAGTATGCTGAACTCGCACAGAAAAGACACATTTTAATAAGGAAAACCAGTGTCCATCAGCTCTGTTCTTTACTGAAATAAAAGTAATGAATTCCTTGGGGGGAAAGATATCAAAGTAACCTTCAAAAGCTTGGTAGATGTGACATTTCAAGATTAAGTAAACAGTAAGTCATGCCCTTCTTCCTCCTAGCCCCACTCAATTAAAATAAAATAGGGGGATTCCCACCCCCTTAGTAAAATAATTCTTGATAACCTTATTAGCAAATATATAAATTCAAATTTTAATTTAATTTTAACTTAAGCAATGCATTTAAGAATTGTTTTGCATATATTATGCATAATAATAGTTTCATTATGGCATTTTCATGTACACAATGTATTTTAACCATGTTCACCTCTCCTTTACCCTCCCTGATCCCCCCCCCCCCGCTTCTGTGTCTCCCTTCTACTTCCATGTCTTATAAGAGAGTTTAATTAGGGTTACTAATAGGAGTATGGATAAGGGATTATTTATAAGATGCAATCAGCTCACCAGTGACCTCACCACTGAAAAAAAATGTCTCTCCCTCCCACAGCAATTATTAAGTGCCCATAGCCCTTCAGAGAAGGGCAAGGCCTCGTGTACCCCTCATGTTCCATGATGAAATGTTGAGAGGCCAATCTTGTGTAGTTAATTACAGCTTCTGAGTGTTCAGTAGCCTATTGGATGTGTCTTTCCTAGAAGACAGCATTCTGCAACATCCCATCCCTTTCCTTTGCCTCTTGCATTCTTTCATCCCCTCTTCTGTGATATTACTTGAGCTTTGGAGTGGTAATACAGATACCTCATTTGTAACTGAGCATTAGGTAGCCACTTATCCTCAGACTTTAACCTGTTGAAGTTTCTGCATTAATCACTACTTACTGCAAACTGAAGCTTCCTTGACCACCTGCAGAAATGTGTGGGTATAAACAGATATTTAGAAGTCATTTTCTTAGGCATATCACATTGATTTTGTAAACTTCCCAACAGTGCCTTCCTTACTAGGGCCTCCGACTTTCCTAGCCATGAGCTTTTGAACAAGTTTACAGTATCACATATGTAATCTCTTTTGTGAACTGTAAGCATTGGAGCTCGGATGGAAAGGTATCCTGGCAGTTGGGAGCCAAGGTACACCACAAAGTCAGTGTAAGCATAGCAGCTTACAGCTCTGCTCCAGGAAAGGTTTCCCCAATGCCAGTATGGCAACTCTGCTACTGCATGGGAGGGTTTTCCCAGAAAAGTGTTAGAGCTCTGCCCATGCAGGGTACCTCTTGTCAAAGTCAGTCTTACTCTTTTTGTTGTTTAGTTTAACTATCAAGTGTGAGGTTTTCTATGGCTTTTTCCATACACACTTAGTTTTGGATGGCCTCTTGCCCTATACTAATTAAACTGTTTTTATCTCCACTATTCCCTCTTTCACTTTCATGTGTGGTCTACTGCTCCATCCTAACTTAAAGCCTCTTTTTTCTCTCATGAGACCTTTTGTTTTCTGAGGTTTGGTGGCATTTGTTGGCTAATTAAATATGAGAAAAGGTAGAGTTAAAGGTGGCATTAAATCTGTTTTGGACACTCAGAAAATAGAGTTTGCAGTAGAATTGGGAAAGTCGGCAGGAAGTCTGGATGGAGGATTAGGAGTTTTGTTTGACCATAGTTAATTGGAAATATTTATTACATTAAAAAGCTAATTCAAATAGAAGAAAATCTTAATTAGGTATTTAGATGACTTAGGAGTTTAAAGAGAGGCCCAGACGATGAATACAAAATTGGATGTTTCCAGCTTGTAGGTGTTATTCAGTTATGAAATTAGACCAGATCATTAACAAAGTGAAAACAGAGAGGTTTAAGAAAAAAAGAGGTTTAAGTTCTGTGCCCTATGGTACTTAGTTATTTAGAGGCCAGGAGATAAAAGACCTAGAAAGGTGACTAGGAAGGAATGAATAGACTATGTTCTGTTAAACTTTATTTGTAGAAAGGCAGAGGACCAAATGCAGTCTGCAAGCCGCAGTTCTCCATTGCTGTGAATTATGGCAAAGGGATCTGTGGAGGCTATGAGCCTGCCCCACCAGTGTTTGAGCTTACTTTTACTCCTTCAAAGTTGACCACAGCTGTGACTACAAGCAAGAAATCCTGACCTAGGGTGTGGCTACTTGGTGGTTTGGACATTAGGTTGACTCATAGAGGTGTTTCTGCTTCACCCTGACCAAAGGTCAGAGAATTCAAGCCTGTTCCTGCTCCTTCATTTTAAAATAGGAGGTTTGACCCAGGGAATGGCTGCCCACAGGATACTAGATCTAGGTTGTGTTCACTGCATATCCTACCCAAAACATCAAATGCTTTACTGGGGAAATAATGGCTTGTTGTCTCAAGTATTGAAACAAGTAACCATTCTGATTGTCCTTTGTATCATGTTAAAGTAGTCTTTTGCCTTCTCTCCCTCCCCTATTTGTATTGGGGTATAAAAGCGTATGGAAAATAAACACAGGTGAATTCAGTATTCAGTATTTACTGGTTTCCTTCCTGGTACTATCCTATGTCTTTGTGTTTCTTTCATATTTTTGTTCCTCCTACCTAATGATTTAATCCCCATGCCCCTACTCTAGAATGTACAAACCAGTCATGGCTGTACCGCAGCAGAAGTCACCCCAACGTGTGGCTTACGACAGGTATAGAAGCACATAGCAGGTCACATGCAGTCTCCTGAAGATTGTTACTTAAATTTCAGTGGTGACAAGGCCACTAAAGTGCCATCAAATATGTAGACAAAGTAAGGAAGAGAGGAAGGAAGAAACAGTTGTCTTGTGTTTTTGGTTGATGAAGCATAGTGAAGGTTGAGAAGTCAGTGCATTCAACACAGATAACAAGAATACATTCCAAGGTGTTTGGAATGGAAGAATGATAGTGGAATTTGAGAGAGACTGGAAGGCAAAAAAAGGCAAAAAATAAATACATATAGATGGTTCTTTAGATGTATTGTCCTATTATAGGGGTAGGGGCAGGGGAATGGAGTCTAATCTATCTATCTTTCTTTCTATCTATCTATCTATCTATCTATCTATCTATCTATCTATCTATCTATCTATCTATCATATTTTATAAGCTGTAGTCCATTTGCATTTTCATTGAGCAGACAACTTTGGAGAACCCATCGGATGATGTGATGGTACACTTGGAACTGGTCTGTAGGAGAAAGTTGCAGATCCAGCTAGCAGGGCAGTTGGTGAAGGAGGCTTCTCTGTTCATGAGTTGTCTTAAGTGGTACTCTGAAAACAGTGATGGGCTGAACTATGGACAGTGACTTGTAAATGTATTCCTGGTTAGGAGAACTTCAGTCTCTTTCATAAGTGAACTGGAGACGAGAAGCCCTGGTGTTATGAAGTAGTTGTAATACAAACAGATAGGGTTTGTGAGCAAGGAGGAGTTAGCTGGCAGCTGAGTTTTTCAGGTTACCTATTTGTTAACCTCTCTTGAAATCCTTGATTTATTGTTAGAAACCTTTGAGGTGATAAAAGGACTAAATGGAGATTGAAGAAATATTAGAATTTAATGTATATCATTAAATACAAAGTATTCTTAGTTCTTATTAGCTTATAAATTCTCATTTACGTGGGTGTTTGGATCACAAATGGGACACTAAGTAGTGTTTGTTTACTATGTCTTCATTTGGATTATTGGAATCAGATCAGTCATAGTATAGCAAGGCTAATTAGAATTGGAAAGCTCACTCATATTAACCATGAATGTTTCTTCGTGATTGGGGTGGTGATAAAGTCTGCCATATTTGAAATGTTACCTTCTTTCTAAGCATCTCTCAGTGTTATAATGTGAAGTAGGTCAGTAAACATGCTGGGCATGATTGTAGTTCGTGTGAACAGAAGTGTTTAACATTTCGACATTGTAACAGCCATGTCAGCAAACATGTTGGGCAGCATGCGGACCACAGGACATCCCTGACATAAGAAGTCATACCAGTTTAACACTTTTTTTCTGTAGTTGAAATATTTCACCCTTATTTTTTTTTATTTTGGTCAGTTTCTGCTATATGTGATAGCAGAAATTTCATTTATCAGTCAACGTAGTTTAGAAAATGTTAGCTTGAATAGTTAAGATAATGTAGAAAGTGAATAGTTACCTATAAGCATTAACTGTAGGTCTGGTTTTGAAAGACTTTCTTCATTTTACTGCATTGATCTAATTTCTGTTTGTCCAATGCCTTTTCAAGGATTCTCTGTGCCTTATTGCTATCTTTTATGGTGTCCCCAGCTAAATTTCTTGCATTTTCTAGAGGCTTTTCTTGCATTCTGAATCTCCCACTATTTTTATTGTTTACCAGCTACCATATCCACTTAATGACCAAAGGGGCTGTGTTGAAGGGAGCGGGCCCCTTGTTCCATCCTGCCCGGCTAGCTTAAGTCGGTAGAGCATGAGACTCTTAATCTCAGGTTTTACGTGGAGTTAGTTAAGGCACCAATCTGTAACAGGAGGAGTGGGCCTGCTTTTCATCCCAGCTGTTCTGCTAGCTTACACCCAAAATAACACACAGAAACTGTATTCATTTAAACGCTCCCTGGCCCATTAGTTCTAGCCTCCTATTGGCTAACTCTCACATCTTGATTCAACCCATTTCTAATAATCTGTATGTCACCACGAGGTCGTGACTTACCGGGAAATATTCAGCATGTCTGACCTGGCAGCTCCGTGGCAGCTCTCTTCTCTGCCCTTCTTCCCAGCATTCAGTTCTATCTACTCTGTGTACCTAAGTGCTGCCCTATCAAAAGGCCAAGGCAGTTTCTTTATTCAACCAATGAAAGCAACACAGACAGAAGGACCTCCTACACCAGGGTTGCTCCTACCCCCCATTCTGTAGTCAAGCGAGGAGTGCACAGCACAGTGCATGTCCACAGTAACGTCTCATTACCTGTGTATACAGTCCCTTATCTTGTAGTAGGGGCTGGGCTGTGTGTTTGGAAGAAGAAACTTCTAATTGTCTGGATGCCTACTTATGTGTATCTAAATGCACAAATAAGACACAACTGAACCTGATTTATGTTCTGTTTTTAGTTATTATGCTTCACCATGTCTTGTTTGGATAACTAAATTTTTTTTTAAAAAAATTGTTTTCAGCCTCTTGGTGTTCTACTGGCTTTCATTCCATCAGTAAAGAATGTGCTATAGTAGTCCTTTGATCAGGAGGGTGTATTTAACTCCTAGTACTTTGCAATATTGTTCACTAGTTGAGGGCTGATCATACCAAATGTATTCCTCCCTTTAAACTACACATATAATGGGAATTTTTTTCGAGACAGGGTTTCTCTGGTTTTGGAGCCTGTCCTGGAACTAGCTCTTGTAGACCAGGCTGGTCTCGAACTCACAGAGATCCGCCTGCCTCTGCCTCCCGAGTGCTGGGATTAAAGGCGTGCGCCACCACCGTCTTGCTACAGACCTTTCTTTCTTTCTTTCTTTCTTTCTTTCTTTCTTTCTTTCTTCATCCATCCATCCATCCATCCATCCATCCATCCATCCATCCATCTATCTATCTATCTATCTATCTATCTATCTATCTATTTAATAATGGGGTTTTGTACAAGGACAGTCTAGTGGAAAAGTATTTAAACCGAAATGTTTTCTTCCTTTGTTTTAAGCTTAGTGCAAATAATTAACTATTTGAAGATTGGTTCTTAATTTTCAGAATTTTAAGTGATCCTTTGTAGTTAGGTGTATTTGTAATTATGTGGCTTCAGTTATATAAAATAGTGGATTTCATGATGACACTTTTGGTCATATGTTTTGATCATATTCTTGTTGTTACTGTCCTTTCTTTCCCATGAACCCATGGCTTTTGTAGAAGTGTGGGTCTGTCTAAAGACAGGTCCCCAGCCTAGGGCTCAGAAGAGTCTTCCCTAGCATAAACTCTGACACAAAGGAAGCCCTCGGTCTCTTTGTCCTAATACCTGGAGAAAGTATCATCTTCCATGGGACAAAAATCATCCAGGCCAATGTGATATTAATAATGGTGATAATGAATCCTTATTGCCTGATTTAAATACTGAAAATTAGAAATAGTGACCTTCAAAATGAATTGAAGCAATAATTTCAGTGAAACATGCCAAAGATAGTAATCAAAGACAGCATATGTTTAAACACATTGGGAACTTGTATTTGCTGATTTTCTAGGTTGAAATATTTTAATTAAGGTTATTAAGAGTTGTTTCTTCAATAATTCTGTATATGTGTAGCTTTTGTGGCAAAAAGGAATATTTATGGAAGTGACATCCAAAGCTAATTATTAAAATACCATATAATGAGAAGTCTGGGATAGAGAGGAGGTGGATCTGGTATGTTGTTCATGTGCGTGTTGGGGGTAGGTAAAAAATGATTAGTGATTTCAAAAAATAAGTCTTCAGAATAGTGTGAAATAATAGTGTGAAACATTTGTTGAGAAGAGGATGGAGTTATTCTGGATGCTGTTTCTGGGAGAACAAACAAAACTGAAATGTTCTCTTTGGGATAGAGGGTAAATCCTAAGACAAAAAGGAACATAGATGATGGATGGAGGGTAGATCCTAGGGTAGAAAGGAACACAGTTTTCTTTTAGATTGTTTTTATAAAAAAAAAATTATTCTAAAAACACCCTGTTTCATGTAATATAAGAGGTTCTATATTGACAAAAATCTATATTCCTTTCAGATGGTCCTGCTGATGCACCAGTGACCAATGGGAACACAACCACAGTGCCACCCCTGAATGATGATCTGGACATTTTTGGACCAATGATCTCTAATCCTTTACCTGCCACTGTCATGCCCCCAGCTCAGGTATGCAGTGAAGTGTGGTTCTGTGTGACAACTTCAGAAACTGAACTTTGAAATCACTGTCACTGAGCAGTCACGGGCTGAAAGCCTGTTCTTTAGGCAGGGCTGGTAAACTAATCTTGGAGTTTTGATTAAACAGTTGTTTTACTCAAACAACGTCCCTTCTGTTGATGTATAGTTCTCAGCTACTTTGGTGCTAAGTAGCAGAGGCACTTACAGTAGAAACTGACATGACCCATACAGTCAGACTTCACCATCCTTAAAGTTTCAACCTTTGTTTTCGGGAAACAACAGTATTTAGAATGCATATGTGAGGTTGGGAATGAGACAAACTCAACCTGACCTTAAATCACAAGCCAGTGTTATTTTTTTTTATTTTTATTTTTTATTGATTTTATTGAGCTATACATTTTTCTCTGCTCCCCTCCCTGCCTCTTCCCTCCCCATCAACCCTCTCCCAAGGTCCCCATGCTCCTAATTTACTCAGGAGATCTTGTCTTTTTCTACTTCCCATGTAGATTAGATCTATGTAAGTCTCTCTTGAGTCCTCATTGTTATCTAGGTTCTCTGGGATTGTGATTTGTAGGCTGGTTTTCTTTGCTTTATGTTTAAAAACCACTTATGAGTGAGTACATGTGATAATTGTCTTTCTGGGTCTGGGTTACCTTACTTAATATGATGTTTTCTAGCTCCATACATTTGCCTGCAAATTTCAAGATATCATTATTTTTCTCTGTTGTGTAGTACTCCCGTAGTACTCCTTTATGTAAATCTACCACATTTTCCTTTATGCATTCTTCAGTTGAGGGACATTTAGGTTGTTTTCAGGTTCTGAAAAGCCAGTGCTATTAACATTGTCATTTTATTACATTTTGAATTAAGTTTTAGCAAATTAAATATTAATTTTCTCTGAAGGTAAATTAGGTTTTAAGTAAGTCTTAAAATGAATCTTGCTGTTTTTGAATGACTAAATAAAAACTTGAAAGAGGCAATAAGATATTTAAAATACTAATGGTGAATAAATTCTGATTTTTTTTTTTTTGTGGCATTACATAGTTTCCTTCAGGTGAAACATTACCTTTCAAGGTGCAATTTAAAGTCTCTAACAACAAGTCTGCAATATTATCATTCTCTCCTCCATTGGAACACTACAAATAAGTAGCCAGTATGTTTTCTGAAAGTATTTGAGATGCATTAGTCCTTTTCTGTGGGAATATGTAAAGGTTTTAAAAACAAGTCTATGTCACATTGAGACTAATAATGATTTATCCTACATATTTTTATGAAAATTATTGTGTTCGTGCCTTGAATTTGAAAAGTTAATCTTTTGGGAATTAATTAGACTAAAATGAGTCAACAAATTTGAGTGTAGCAAAAGTATGTATTTCAGGAAAGGTAGCTAGCATATTGTGGTTTGGCCCTTTTAGTCCCTATTGCAGCTCATGTCAAAGCAGGGACTTAGGGGTCTGGGAAGATGGTTCGTTCGGTATAAAATGTGTGCTGTGCAAGCATGAGGTCATATGAGTTCAGATCCCTAGCACCCACATACAAAGTTGAGCACAGCAGCATGTGTCTAACCCCAGTGCTAGGGGTGGTAGGGAGATGGGTAGATTCCTAAAGCTTCATTGACTGGCCAGCCAGTTGGTAATCAAGTTCTAACTCTTATGCTTATCAAGTTGTAGCCCGATGGTAAGCCTCAAAGACTAACCTTTATGCTTTGTGCATTCTGATTAGTACATTTTCAAAATATTGCCTTTGCCAGTAAAGAGTATCTTAGAAGTGTGTGTTCATATGAATGCTGGAACTATGAAGGTTGTTAATTCTTGTGGGCATTTAGTATATGAAATTGAGCTGTAATTGGGTTCAAGTACCAAGATCATGAATTGCTCTGAACCTTATTTGACTTTTGGTGTTTTCTAAGTATGTGTAAATTCTAATCAAAGATTTGCCCGTGTGTAAATATTAAATAGCCTAGGTTTACCATCTGCCTGGAAATAGCTGAGTGACAAGAATGTACATGTATGGGGGTAGGAGGAGATGGACACAGCAACTCTTTGCTGTCTACAGACACACGGAAGGGAAGGGGAGAGACAGGTTATGAATATATGAGAATGCATATGTAGACTTGCCGATAGCTGCCTTTGATTTAGTCCCTGGGATTTCCAAAAGGCCAGAAAGAGAACAGGCAAACATGGTTTCCTTTCTCCCTGGTGGTAAAATGGTAGCAAATGCAAGCCCAGTAGATAAGCAGACTTCAGGTGCTTGCTAGCTGTGCCACTTAGACTGGCCAATTTTAGCCGGTGTCTGTGTTGCGGTCGATAGTCATACTTCCTCACATGAAGAATGTTCGTCAGACTGCTCTACAGTAAGACCAAAATTTGTGTTTCCCCAACCATTTGGAAATCTTTTCATGTTGAAATCTCATTCATCAAGAATGGATCCCAAGGGGTTGAGTAGATTCCTGTGTTGCACGTAGGTGAAACATGATGAAAGGATCATTTACTGGTGTCATTTTGCTTTCAGTGTTAATAATAAATAGTAAGTACTTAACCTTGTGTAAGGCCCTGGGGTTACAAAGCCTGTCTTCATTTTCATTGGACAGAAGTCAGTTGACATACAGATGTAAGGGCACCTATCTCAACACTCGGGTAGAGTAGGGATCCAGTCCAGCTTGGAACCATTGGCCTCTGTGGTAAGATATAATTCATTGGTAACTAAGATATAGTCAGATTAAAAGACACTATTTTGGTATTCTCTCATGTCTAATTTCTTACACATTTTAGAGCTTTTGCATTCTCTCATGTCTAATTTCTTACACATTTTAGAGCTTTTGCAAAATAAGATAGTCTTTTCTATGTCTCTTATAAGTCTTGCTAAATTAGTCATAATAGGTTCAAAATATGGCTCTGCTTAACTATGTTGGAATAAAATGCTTTGAAAGTAATTTCCTGCATAGTGCTCTATCCAGGACAGTAAATGTGTAACTTTAACTTCCATCGCTACTCACCTCAATCTGTAGTTTCAGAAGAATGTGAGCCAGCATTTGAGTCTTCAGAGAATTGTTAATTTTTTCGCATTTAAAACAAATCATTAAGGAAGACTGTCATTACACAATCATGTCCTTGTATAAGTAGATTAAGGGGAAGCTTGTTTTGTAGTAAATGTCTAAATTACTTGTGTTGATTTGCTTATGGTTGAATATAGGTAGCTAAGTTTTTCTGTATTTCACTTCTGGATTTGAAGCATTCTAGTATTGTTAAAATAGACCTAGAACAAGTACGTAAACATTCTTTGGTGTAGCTTTTGAAAAAGTAAAAGTGTTTAATCTGCCATTATAGAACCTTTTGGTTCTGCAAGTGGCAACATTCTTTATTAGAAGTGACACTAGTTCTTGAGAGAAGTAGTGTCCGTCTTCACACTGTACCTGCATGTTTCCAGACTCAGTGTGCTCAAGATGTGATGGGCAAAACTGCTTTGCCCAGCTGCTGCATATGGCTAGAAAAGAGCTCAGTCTCCTTGGTTTACACTAACACTGCGCCTTCACTCGAGATGTTCGTATGTGGACTCAAAACTGATCTTATTAGATGTCACCATTTTTCCTCTTAAGATTTTGTAGAAATTAACTATTTTGGTGTTTTGCCCAGGGGACAGCCTCTGTACCAGCAGCTGCTACCCTGTCTACTGTAACATCTGGGGATCTGGATCTGTTCACTGAGCAGACTACAAAGTCAGAAGAAGTAGCAAAGAAACAACTCTCCAAAGACTCCATCTTATCTCTCTATGGAACAGGAACACAGCAAAGCACTCCTGGTAATTGATTTTGAACTTTATTTCCAGTGAATGACAGTGGTATTATAGAGTACATCCTTTGAAACTGTAATGGCAGTTGCATTTTCCTGTGGTAGGGGATACTTCTCTACTTAACTGAAATGAATGAAGGATTAGAATTAAACAATATAGGATTCACAAACTTTATTCATTTGAAACTTGACAAGTTGGTCACATATCACTTAATACTGTTCCACAAGTTTATAGGACATGAATTATCTTTGAAGAATTACTGGTATTTACATGAAGTTTGGCTTTGTGTACACTATTTTCTCTGCAGGCAAACAAATAAGCAGTCAGAGTTATACATAAATATATATAATTATGCAAAATTTGGAAATGCCTTGTCATTATAGTAAAATATTAGCATACAATTTATTCAGTTTTAATTCATCAGATCCTTTCCTTCAAAATAAGCTCATCTCATATATAGACTGAAACTGTGTGGCCACCCACGTACTTCCTCATAAAAGCAAATAATCACCACACTACCCGCCTGGTTGGTTTATGAGAGAGCAGTGGTGTGTGTCATCAGGAGTAGCATGTACTCTCAGGCTGTGCATCACTTTCACATAGTCAGAACATCTGTCTGCATTATGGAAATAACAGACTCTCAAGGTGGAGGTGTGGGTTGTTTAGAGATCTGTTCTGAGGGTCAGGAAGTTACCCTCTTTTCTGTATCTGGAGATGAGTGCAGCCATATAAAAGAGCCTCTTCTTGTTTTGTTTGTTGGTTTCTTTTTTAAAATTTGTGGTTTTTTACAATACAGGTGTGTTTATGGGACCCACAAATATGCCATTTACCTCACAAGCAGCAACTGCATTTCAAGGTTTTCCTTCCATGGGCGTGCCAGTGCCTGCAGCTCCCGGTCTTATAGGAAATATGATGGGACAGAATACAAGCATGATGGTGGGCATGCCCATGCCCAATGGGTTTATGGGAAACACACAGACTGGAGTGATGCCACTTCCTCAGAATGTTGTTGGCCCTCAAGGAGGAATGGTGGGACAGATGGGTGCACCACAGAGTAAGTTTGGCCTGCCACAAGCTCAGCAGCCTCAGTGGAACCTTTCACAGGTAGGGCTCATAAAACTATCTACCATCTCAAAGTCCAGGAAACCCTGTGTATATTCTGAGTAGTTCATTTGAAATCTAATGATGTAGCAAAAGAATTGAATAAAGATAAGTTTGATCAGATACAAATGTTTATAGGTGTCATGAGGTTTTATCAGATAGATAAATGACTCACTACCATCCTTATTTTAAGAATATTCTGTAAATAAGTGTTAGGATTTTCCTTTTCCCATTTTGACTTGTAACAGTTATAATAGTGAACATGCCTAATCTATCGTTACTAGCTAGAAGTTATCTTTGGCAGCATACAAGAGACACCTCACTCTCATATCTGCCACCTGTCAGGCTTGGTACCAGCTTTACTCAGCTCCTGGGTGGGGTCTTTTAGTCGTTCACTTAGACCAGTCTGTCTTCACTAGTAAGCGTGGATCATTTTTGGTTAGCTCTTACCAATGAGAAAGAAATCCAGCTTCATATTCTCAAAGTACAGTTTTATGAAGGATCAAAGCTGTCTCTGTCATATGGTTACTGCTTATGGATTTATGAGGAGCATCCATTGGCTCAAGAGTCCCTATGATAATAAAAACTCTGCTTGCTTCAGGTATCACTGACAAATTCCATCTCTATCTGGGATAGTTTAAGTCAAGGAGTACCATTTCTGAATTAAATGCTCTTCTGACTTTTCTGCAGCGTTCAGAGGCTTTTGAGTTAAATGTTCTGGTTCTCATTTCCTTTCCTTCATCTTAGTGTCTTGGTTCCCGTAAGACCAGCAGCTTTACCTTCAGAACATTGATTTCTAACAAACATTAGAAAAATCATCAAATATCTTAGAATTGTGGTTTACAGGAGTACATAAAGCACATGTGTACGCACTGCAAGTGCTGGCCGGGCATTAGTAATAGCTGTTCTGTTGCCAAGATGCTGAAGTTCACTCAGCTCAGGCTAAATTACAGTGAGCCAGTGAAGAATCGCAGCCCTTATCACAAGGCCATGATAGTGTCTGTGAGCAGAAGTGAAGATTTGATCTGCCTGCCTTTAGACACATTGGAGCTCTGGTGTGGTTATTGTGTCTTACAAAAACCCTGCAGAAAGAACAAAAGAACACTGATCATAGGTTTGGAACTGTATTGTGGAAAATCCTGCCTGGTCTGTCATCAACCTTTGTAGTGAGAGAACCACTGGGCTAGGTAAGAGGCAGATAAATATACTGACTCTAGCCTGGAAGAAAATTACATGTAATCTTTTATTTTATAGGATATAAAATTTAATCTTAGCTGTTAAAACACATGCTATGACATTTTTAGTATGAAAGTGTATTAAATCCATTTAGCATGCTAATAGAGAATACATTTTGTAAATGTTAGGATATTTTTAGGATGTTTTAATTTCTCAAATTTCTCAGTTCAAGAAATACTCTCATATTTGAAAGAGTCCATTGACTTATATACTCAAACAAATTAGAGGATTACTTTGGTATTCTTTTCAGTTGCTGTTAATCTTTGGGATAAAAATTTAAATACAGAAAGTGAACTAAGTATGGATTACTTCATAAGCAGTGCTAAACACAGGAAAAAATAAAGAACAAGGTTATTCTTGAATCAGTAGAGAGGTATTTGGGCATGGTCTACTTTACCTCTGTGTTTTGACTAAATTTTACATTAATGATGAAAAGTTTGGTTGTAGCTAAAGAATTAAGAATGAAAAGTGAGTAATCCTTGTCAACTAAGCCTTTTATGTGTTTCACAGATGAATCAGCAAATGGCTGGCATGAGTCTCAGTAGCGCAAACCCTACCGCAGGTTTTGGCCAGCCCCCCAGCACCACAGCAGGGTGGTCGGGCAGCTCATCGGGGCAGACTCTGAGCACACAACTGTGGAAGTGAAAAGCTGCAACAGAGTTTCATCCAAATCCAACACCCGACATTCCTCGCTACAAAGGCATCTAGTTCCCGTTTATTCATGTACATATGTATTTTCCTTTCCCCCATTTGTTCACATTAAGAATTACCTGATTGACCGTGTTGGTCTGTGCTGATTAAATCTGATGTGAAAGCAGGTTGAGAAACCATCTTCTGTGGAGGGCAGCTTTGCTCATATTTCCCATGATGTCATAGCCACATTGAGAAGCTGCTCAGTTAACTTGCATAATCGGTTTTATTCTCAAAATTATAGCTCTAATGTTTGCATATAAGGGAAGTAGTTATCATGTTAGTAAACAGTATAAACCCCACCCCCAAATTAGCCAGTAATCCTGTAGGAAGGTACTGTATGATCAAATGTTTAATCATATAAATAGAATGTAAATGTATCACTGAGCACTGTTTTCTAGTGTATCAAATTCTTTTACTCATCACTCACTTCACTGTGCTGTTGTTTAGATGTGCTTAACAGGGAACGTGATTAGTGAAAGGAAGATAAACCTGGATGTTACTGTAAAACTTAGTGTTTCAACAATTCAAATTTTCGCTGCCTCTTGTAATTTGGACCTCTTCTCATGTACATAGTGCTAATAAGAAGACCCTTTTTCTGCACTATATGCACACAGGGTAACTAAAACAAAGCCACTTTTAATCCTTAAAGGTATATCCAGGTTTATGACAGTAATTGTGTTTACATTTTATGGTGCCTAGTATTGACAAAATGTTATTTCCCTATATTAAACAGATGAATCCACACTTTTTTATTTGTGGGTTTTATTTCCTTCAGTATACACTGCCACGAGTTGGGACTGTTTAGTTGACAAAATACTCATGGATCAGGTTCTAAGACCTATTCCATCAATTATGAGAGGAAGGGAGGAAGCAGCAGGACAGGAGATACTCAGAATTTTCCCCAGTGTCCTGTAGCTTCAATGTACAAATATCTTCCCAATTAGCTTTAGAGAACACATGCAGAACAAATGAAGACAACACATTTTGTAGCATCCAGTTAGCTGTCTAAACAGATGTCCATTGGCTGACAGGAAGGGCTGAAGGAAAGGAACAATACCTGAATGAGCTGCAGCCTAAATTCCAGACTTCCTCTTCTACACCTCAATGTTCACTGTGTCCAGGTGGTACTTTGGCTCATTGGCTAGATTGACCTTCTCTGTCCGCGTGTGCCACACGAGAACCTACAGGGGAAGGGGATATTTTAAGCAGCTGAACTGTCAACACTTGCTGTCCCACCACATGAAGGAGATGATAAAGTACCTTGGTGCAGTTACTGGCTTTTGGTTCCAGTTCTTCAACTGTTGTTATCTGCTTTAGAAAGTCAGATTCTTGCATCCCTGGCTGGGATCCACGGCGCTTAAATACAGCTTTAGGATTGGACAAGATGACTTGCAGACTCACAGCAAATCCTTTGTATTAAAGAAAAAGAATTACTGTTGTACTTTTTCCCTTTGTAATTGTGCCACGTCAAAAAGTACAAGATAATTATTATATGGTTAGATTTTGGTATTCAAATTTGAATAGGAGCATTGCCTGCTTACATTCTCAAAGAGAAATTAGTCACTGTGACTTTGTACACTCTGAGGATACCTACCTCAATATGAGTTCAAATCTGTTGATAATTAAAAAAAAGTAAATTTCAGAAGCTGCTATCCTCAGAGAGTTCACCACGGCACCACATTTGATGCTCTGCATTATTGAGCTTAGGCGTTTCAGAAAGATGTCTCAACTATCCTTGAGGTGTTGAAGTGCTGGCCCAGCCTTCCTGCTTGCTTTTGACATCATTAATGTGCTTTATCATTGCGGTCAGCACTGTTCCAAATGACTTGACATTGAGAAGATCAGAGATAGAGGTACTGTGGTCATCAGAGATAGAGGTACTGTGGTCATACAAAACGTAAGTATTACCTAATTTATAATCATTAGTTTTGCTCTTAAGCATGAAGGAAGTGAGCTTAGAAATCAGAACAGGCACTTATTAAGTCATTTGGTAAATTTGGTTTTTGTATTTGAGTGTTTGTTTAAAAAGGATATTGCTTAATGGTAGAGCACTGGCCTCACATGTGTTGAGGCCCTGAGTTCAGCCTTCAGTGCTGCAAAGACAAAGAAGTATGAACTCCCTCCAGTGATTTGTTTATATGACAGAACTGTTAGGATTTAACCTGCTTTAATACATTCCTAATGCACGCCACAGCCAGCCACACATGTTTTAGAAGTCTCAAGCCTGAGCCTTTGGTCCTGACAAGGTGACACAGAACTCATGCCCTCCAGGAGCTGATGGGTTGAGAGCCAAGCCAGGGATGTCTCCATAGATAACTTTATATCCTCTTTTCGGCAGTGGATTTCTGCTGCTTTTTGGAGAAATGTAACAACATCAGACAGTAGTGGAAGAGCTGCGAGAAGACCACGCCTGATTGGTCAGTCACGCACCCTGAACCCTGCTGCTTCTTGGAAATAGTTAACTCTTAGCCACGCACAAACAGGATGTGGTCTAGGAAGTGCTGAGTGAAGCAAAGTTTAAAAAAACAGAAAACAACCCAGAAATCCAGTGTCCTCCACTAGATAGAAATACACCGTGCATTCTGTCGAGTAAGCAACACGAAATTTGGAATCCAGCCTTTTGGTTTTTACTAACTAGGTTCTTGCATTTGGCACACTGGCCAAGTCACTTCACCTTTGTTAACTGTATAATGTCCCCGTTTCAGCAAGGGAAGTATGAAAGCTCAACCTTGGTATTAGTATAGGGTAAAGATCCTCCTGATGCAGAGGACTGCAGTGTGCAAACAGAAGTGCCACTGTGTGAAAAGTACCTAGGGCTGGGTAGTACCAGCCACCACTCAGAGCTGCAGAAATCAGAGTAGACAGGTGAAGGGCTTGTGACAGTTCTGGGGCACAGAGCCAAGGCCATATCCTGTCACATGACTGATAAGACATCTGAATCTTCATCAGATACAGCTAGGTCAGCACAAGACTTCAGCAACACAACCAAAGCTTGAAGTTAATAAGGTGCCTTTTCTCGAGACCAAGTCAGATTAATGTTAATGGTTTTTTGCTGTCTTTCATGTGCTTCATCCTTTAAATGGAAGTCTGTCGTCACGCATACTGCCATTTCTTTATATGGTTTCAAAGCACTGATTTTTATATCCCTATTTTCATATGTACACACAATGAGCCAAATTATGCATAAGTAATTCTGAAAATATGGAACCATTTAGGTCTGATTTCCTTCACTGTCCCCTAAGATGTTAAACTCATCATCTGCAGCCCTGAAAGATTCAGATTAAGTAACTATTTTCTCTACTTCCCTGGTTCAGGAATATCTTGTAGCAGTGTAGAGCTACTTGGTAAAATGAAGCACAGGTCACAGCTAGTCCTGAAGCCACCACTGTTTCTGCTGGGTGCCCTCTTGTTCTCACTGGAGAATGATAGAGACCTGAACAGCAGTACTCTCAAAGACCTTAGGGAGTGGCTTGGTCCGGAACAAAACAACCCCTTTTCTAACAAAGGGGCCAGAGGGAGAGAGGACATAATCCAGATGTTCTTCATTCGTTTACCTCAGCTGGCTCTGCCCATTCTCCACTCAGGAAACAGGTCGCAGCCAGCAAGCAGTCATCATCAGGGAAGTAAGCCAAACTGAGTTGATTCAGGGAAACCCACTGCCCAAATGAGATGCCAGGGAGAAGCTAAAGTGGTCTCCCTTGGAAACGGGCCGAACTTTTAACTCCTGCCCATTGATGTTCAGTCTCTATGGGTGTCTTGGGTTTTCTTCAGTTTTGCTCGTATTCGTGCCTCAAACATGTTTATCTTCAGAGACTGGTTTAGCTTTAAAGGTGCTGCTCTGTGTTTGCAGGTATTAGGATCCTGACAGAAACCATAGTAGGGTTTTCTGTCTGGGTTAGTTACAGAACAATATGCTATGTCAGCGAAAAATGACGATTCACTGTGTATGCTGGGCTTCTTAACACCCAACGATGGGGAGGAAGAACATATTCTCCAATAGGCAGAGGGCAGGGCTTGCCTCAATAGACTACATGCTTACTGAATGCTGGCTGGAAACAAGGTGGAACCTTAGTATCCAATCTATTTAATTTTTGGATAAAATAAAAACCACAGGGGAATTGGAGAATAGGTGCCTCATTGGCTAAGAACAGTTGGTCTTTTAGGGGATCCACATTCAGTTGCCAGCGCTCACATGGTATCAAAACCATCTGTAGGTCTGGTGTCAAGGCTCCCACACCCTCTGATTTCTGCAGGCACCAGACATGCACATGTGTTCACATACATACATGCAGGCTTAGTTTTTTTTTTTTAAGCCAAAGGATTACGTAAACAAGAAAAGTATTCAGACATTGAGAGTGAAACACATGTTACAGCTCTCAGAAAATAGATAAATGTCAGCCCTAAAACTGCCAAAGCTTCTCTGAAGAGGCCACTCCACAGGTAAGGAATCCCCAAACACTACAGTCTGCTTTAGTGGACGACTTAGAACTTGAAGAAGCTGTTCTCAAACCTTCAGTGTGATCAGCTGATGCCTGCAAAAGTCCCCAGGCCAAGTAGAGGTCTAGAAAGGAGCAGGTGGATCAGTTACAGTGACTCACTTAGCCAGGTGACAGTTGCATTCTCAGCAAGAGCACAGCATCCTAATAGTACCTTACCTGCAGCACCTGCATGGAACATGGAGATGGCTGGCTAGTGCAGGGTCACATTAGCTCTGAAAGCTCAGATGCTCCTGCCTAAATTTAAAAACAAGTCTTGAAAAGAGATAAAAGTGCCTCCAAATAACTTGATCATGTCCCAGTACAAAGTTCAAAAATATGTACATATTTATAATGCAGCATATGTTATGTGTATATGCTCATACTACATATATATATATATATCAATATTACCCAACAATTTGAAATTCAAAATATCTCAGAACCGCTCTTTCTGCCTCTTTTGAAGAGGTAACTACTGTTTCTCTCTCCCCCCTTTGCCCCTCCTTCCCTCCCTCCCTCCCTCTCTCTCATCTTCCCCTTCTACCCTTTTTCCTTCATAACCCACTAAACTTGTCTCTGAAAAAAAAAAAAAGGTCTCAGAAGCAAAACTTCCTGGTGTACAAAGAAGCAGGAAAATAAAATGACATAACCAAAGAAATAAATCCAGAAATGATAAAGATGATAGAATTATAGAGTATAATGAATATGCTCATATTATAAATGTTTTCATATTCAAGAAAACTGAAGAGATGGGAGAGATAAGAAAGGGCCGAGGTCGTCTTAGTAATAAAAATACAAGAAGATGTAAAGTGTCCTGGGTAGAATTAACATGAGATATATTAAAGAATAAAAGATCAGAAAAGAACAAATAACAAAATAGAATAAAATAAAAATAAGACTAGTGTTTTGAGCATTGAAATGAAACATGAGAGGAAGACAAAAATAGATGAAGTGATGACTCTTTCCAGCCTTCAGTGAAGTTATGTAAAGCCTGAGTCACCCTGCCAGACAATGTAACCTAAATGAAGACCACTCCAACCATAATAGCACTTTGCCCAATCTTCACACATGAATGTTCTCAAATCACGGAAGTCATAAACCAACTCCCCCCAAAACTTACAGCAATTCAAGTTACATAAAGTATGCTGTCTCTAATGTGATAGAATTGAAAAGAATAACAAACATAAGTTTCAAATATTTGGAAACTTGGTAAATTACAGGTCACATAAATCAAGGGAAGTGAGAACAAAACATGAAAGTCTGAATCTAATAATATAGTACACGGGAAATTATTGTGGCAGTACACGTGTGCACGTGTGTGGGAGGTAGAACTGTGTATACGGGTGTGGAGGTCAGAGGAAAATGTTGGATGTTTTCTTCTCTCACTCTCCACCCTATTTGGGGAACAGAGTCTCTCACTGAACCTGGAGTCGACCAACTGGCTAACTGGTTGGCTGCAAACCCATCAGACCCTCCTGTTTTCACCTCCCTCCTGTCTTGGACTTCTAGGCATGTGCCACCACATACAGCTGCTTACACAGCTAAGGATCCAAACTCCAGCCCCTGTGCCTGTGCAGTGAGCACTTGACTCATTGAGCCATTACCATCCCAATTCCAAAAATAATTTTTTAAATACAAGGCATCACTGTGCTGTCCAGATGCTCCAATAGACTAGTTTGAGACTTCCTGCCTTAGCCTTCTAAGTAGCTAAAACTATATAGAACATATATAATTTTCAAAAATATCTTTAGAAAACAAAACCCAAGTCCTGAAGTACTATTAATGTAACAGCAGAAATCAGGAATAGAAAATGTGCAATAAAGCCCGCTTCTTTGGGAGGAGAAAACTTGACTGTGGTGGTATGAATGAGAAATGTCTCCCAAAAGTGCAGACATTTGAACTCTTGGGCTGCAGTGGCAGTGCTTGGGTAG